GTGTGGCAACTCGGACCGTTACACAGTAATACCTGGTCCTATGTTGATACTGATTGGTTGATTGATTGATGAATGGAAATCTAATTTTCCTCCTTCCGATCTCGATGGCACAATCTGATAAGTCTGTGATTTCTATTGCATACCCACCAACCATGTGGACCGTTGGCGCACATGGTCTTATGTTCTGAGACTGACTCTTATCTATCAGCGAGACTGCCGCCCTCGTATCCATTATACACACTATCTCTGTATCCTATATTCGCATTCTAGCACACACAGCACCTCTATATATGCATCGTTCCTACGACATCTAGTCTAGTCGGAAAAATAGAGCCCATATTGTATCGTTTAAAACGTTTTCTTTTTCGCCTTTCCGGACAGTTTCTTCGCCAGTGTCCCAGTTTTCCGGATGTGAAGCATTTACTCTGTCTGTTGATATTCATTCAAAGTGCAGCCACCTCCTCCTTAGGGTTATCGATTTGTTTTTTCCAGTTATTTACCTCTGGTGACTGCACCTCAGTTACTGTTGTACCTATCAGCTGTCTGGTACCTTCACCAGCTCACTAATATTCATGGATTGGACTGCATTCACTTGTCGTAGCTGCTGAACGATGGCATTCGGGAAACTTTTTCGGTGAACTGTGCCTGGGAGTCCTCATCGGAAGTGGGAAGTGGTTGTCGAAGTAGTTTTGTCAACTTCACAGTCAATACCAGTGGATCTTCGTCTATTCCAAGTTTCGTGCTCCGGAACTGCTACATCGCCAGCTCTCTGTCCTCTGGGCTGTCAAACTCCGCTTCCAGTCGTTCAACCATTCTCTCCCAAATATCCTTCCCATCCACACTTTCCACACTGTCATATGCTGCTTTCGCTCTACTCCTCAGCAATGTGCCAGGCACCACGGCCTTCACTCCTAGATCCCGGACACCCGCCAGCTTTGCGACCGACTAAAAATCCCTGAGGAAGACCTTGACGTCTCCATCCTGGAACACTACAGGTCATGGGATCTTCATGATGTCTAGAAGCAATGACACCAATTGTAGGAATCGACAAAGACTGAGACGCTGGACAGTGTTTATTATGACATTTTGTACAGTAGTAATGACATTGTACTTTTTTTAATAAAAGAGTCATTTGCACAATGTGCTTCATTTTTTTCTGCTTCTATCTTGATTTGCTCTTAATACGCTCACATTGTCTCTTGCGTTTCTCTGGGGAGAATATTTACCCGTTGCTGCTAATTGCCTATGACTTCTGCCACCCTCTCACTATATGCTACTTATATCCATTCTAATCAGTAGCACCCACTACACTAGTTGCACATCAAAACAATAAATGATTTTACAGTTATTATGATTGGTACACGTATCGTATCTCCTATTTATAAGTCAAAATATTTAGTCTGTCAGTGGTCAACATTGTTAAAGATAGCGTATTATTTTTCACCTAAACATGGGTACTTATAATTGACGAGGATTCAGTGTGAAGGATCACGTGATTTTTCCTCTAATTACCACTGAACATCAAAGTGTGAAGTTATTCTTTCTTACTTATGTGCACTTGCATATTGTAAATATTTTGGTCTTCATCTTCTGTAGTAATCAAGCTAACGATATGTAATTTCCACAAGCCAGTAACCTTGTAAACCACATGAGATTTCATCACATTCTGTATTTCAGTATTTGTATTTCCCAAAAGTTGTAGTCTATATCTTTGATAAAGCTGTCAGCACTAAGTAGTGAAACATGAGCTACAATAAACTTGTTGTGTTTTACGTTAATTTGGGGATGTAAATACCAAAATAATGAATGCCGTTTATTTTATGCCCACATTTTTTCAAATCGACGCATCCTCTTAACTTCATTTATTTTGCACAGCATGGGTTCAGTAGTTTAGGTCATGATTTCATAATTAATGCTTAGTAATATCACTAGGTCTCATAAAGCAGATACGGCACGTGATTTCTTTGCGCCGCAGTGGAAGCAGTGAGTTACTAGGTAGAGGCTAATTGGTGAAATCAAGTGGGGGTAAAATTATTCCGAAAATGGCTGAAGTGTGAGGAAAGAATCCGAAGATTAAAACGACACTCTGTTGATAACAAAGGACTTCTCATTTCGGTTATCTGCAACCACTTCCAGCCTAATGATATTGATTGAATTGGTGGAATGTGTCAACGACCCCACTTAATTGGAAAGTTACAGCAGGCCGAACAGGCGAATTCTCAGCTTGGGTAGAATTTGCCAGCTTGCGTCACCTATGACACAGACTGGCAAGATATCTGACCATCTATCAAAAGACGAGTATACTGCTTTACAGTCCGTTCTATCCTGTTTTACGGCTGACATGGACGTTAAAAGTGGAGGACATGAAGCGATTACAGGATTTTGATCACAGATATCTTCTTAGCATTGCTCACGCTTAGTGGAATAACCGTGTGAGCAATGTTGAGGTTAGACAAAGGTTACAAGGCAAGTTGACTAATCAGATTATGAACCTTCATCGGTTGAGGTGGCTTGGACATGTGTTACGCAAACCGAGTCACCGCCTTCCGCGATGTACCATGCTAGTGGAAGTTAGATTAGGTTGGTTGTATGAAATTCAGCAGACACTCACCTAGACTAAATGGTTTTATGTATGCAATAGACATACAGACGGAAAAAATCAAAGTAAAACCTCGCAATTAGGTGCATCGGCTGAAGTTGCCACACTTCACAGTAATACAAAAGAAAAGGTGGATAGAAAAGGAGTGATATCAAAGTAGATAAAGCAGTGTGAGAGCATAAACAATTTGAAGATGATGGTTGGTGCAAATATTCAAGCTTTAGATATCAAGGAGTGAACGCATCTTTGCCACTGTGACCGATTCTCAGCTGCGTTACCAAGAGTCCTCAACCACTGATTCCTTTCCTCTTAAGGATTTCAGCCAGACACTCTCCATCCCCCCTATGCCTCAGACCAACAATCAGGGACTTTATCGACTGGCGCCAGATCTTCGTCTGGCCACAACCCTCTTCCAACTTCCTCCAACATGGGACGTCGAGATAAGCAGTGACTCGGCGTTCGTAACACATGTCCAAGCCACCTCAACCGATGAAGGTTCACAATCTGATCAGTCAACTTGCCTGTTTTGCCTTGTAACCTTTGTTTGACGTCAACATTGCTCATATGGCGATTCCACTAAGCATGAGCAATGCTACGACGATATCTGTGGTCAAAATCATGTAATCACTTCTTCTTTTAACGGCCAGATCTCAGCGTAATTTGGCGTGATCGGATTCGAAACAGGTACTCCGGAAAGAGCGGCAATCCTCCACCGATGAATTATAACAATGTGATCTATCTGTGCCCATTGTTGGTTTGAAGTCGGCGGACGCTATATGAGATAGTGCCTTTCCTTATGCTTAAAGTTAGTGCTGGTCAGAAACAAGTGATTGTCGGAGCAGAATCGCCATAGATGATCACCGTTGTTGGTTCGTTGGGATGGGATTTTGTAGATAACTTCCAGATACCTTTCCGATTGGCTCAGCTCAGTTTTCCTACTTGAGTGTTAAAGTCACTTGCTATTATGACTAAATCTGAACATTTCTCTTTCTGTAGCAAGGTTGACAGCTATTCATAGAATTCATTCTTTGCATCATCCGAACTGTGTTCGGTGGGTGCGTAGGAGAAGATTATGAATAGGCATAGGTTGGTCTTACGGTGCTTCTTCATTCTAGCAGATCCATTCAGTCATACAGAGCATAGACTGCTGTTTACTGGTATCCAGTCAAGAAGCACACTTTCCGCTCCACAAATGGATCCCGTGCCTACATCAGCGAGTCAACAAGATCCCCAGATACTCAAGGTGGATTTTTTTCGACTTACTACAATGGCCAGGTGAGGTCAATTTAATACCCACACCCGAGCCCTGTATACATGTCGTAGAGATACAGCATACGTGCATGGGCAGAGATTCTAGAGTTTTAGCGGGCGGAGCTTTCTGTCCGATTTGGTATAGAGTTTGGATTTTGAAAGCTTTTACAGGAAATCGATGGCGGCGTCTTAGGAGACAAGGAATGACGTTTCGATTTCTGTGATAGTTGGTTAAGGTTTCATAATGAGAGGTTTTGGAAGTTTTAAGAAGCCTAATATTGGTATCAGGGTGTGCGCACGTAAAGGAGGACACAGAGTTGCGGAGGATAAGTTATATTTGATTGGGTTTTATTAAATAGTGGAGATGTGCAAGTGGTTGACACATCATGGCTGTCCATATCGTGGAAGGCTATTTCTTCTTAAAGTACCTGAAAGAAAAAAGGCTTGTCTGACCACAGAGCCCATCGGATATCTGCTTGAGGCCCGTCACACGCAGCCTTTTATAGGTTGTTGTTTCGAGATCTAGCTATTCTAACGCCTCAGAGAGTGAACCCATACCACCGGCACTGGAAGGCCGTGGAGCAGTGAGGAGTGTCCTGGGGGCAGACCTTTTTTAACCCCCACTTCCCGTTGAAGAGGTAGCATTAACGTGACACTGCCGGTCATCCAAGATAAACACCTTAATGCTGTCACACTCCATCCAGTTAGCAGCAGTAGGACTTCGCGCTTAGATCCTCATTATAATGCAGTAGTTTTACCCTACAACGACAACTGCTTTTCGTCTTAGCATTATGCAACAGACCTTTGTGGCATGGTAGGACCTCTAGGGAACAAGCGTCGCAGCTAGTGTAGCTCCTTGGGTCATTAATAAATAATACATAAATAATATACCAACCTGACTACCATATCAAGGTAGCAGTTGTTGGTTCGGCCATTTGTGCATTGGTTGTAACCGTCTGATTTTCAAATTAATCGGGATTTTCTGCTTTTTGAAATCTATGTCAAACTTATCTTGTGGTCCAACACTTTCAAAAAGTCGGGATACTTCTTTTTTCTGCTCTGAGTGTATATTTATCATTGTTTACAGATGTTTCACGGCAGTGACTATTAGGTTTTCGATTTCCTACCCTCTGTTTTCTTTTCTTTCCAGTTGGCTGCATGAAGGCACCGACAGACTAACATTAGAGATAGTTTCGGAAAATGTTATGTTCGCTGATTCACAAGTCGCTCACGCAGTAATCGTTTTCCCTCATTCATTATTCGATGGTATCCCCTTGAATCAATGGTATGAGCTTAGTGGGAAACAAGGCGAAAATTTAGAAGGCTCCATTAATCTAATCTTTCAGTGTCGAGTGAGTAAATCTCTGTTTATTTGAGGTCTTTTTATTTATCACGCTCACGTTAACCTGTTTCTCTTTCCCGTCAACTTGTTTCATGAATCGTACCTCAGTGATTTATGTACCCAACTTATAAACACTACCTTGTGAAATAATATCCGATTCTACCTTCTCAGTGGCATCATTAGCAACTAAAAAATAAATACAGCTCACAAGATAGGATCGGTTTCGACTTTAGCACCTAGGTGCAGTATCATGGTGGTTACAACCTTGAATACGAAAATAAACAAGGATTGGCATTTACTCGCTTTACATTCACGTTTCCACAAGTACTGAATATATTATTATCACCATTATTGTCATAACCAATATGCTTAGTAAATGTGGACTGATATCTTTCCCGTGCATATATATTGTTTCTTGTACATTGTTAGTAAATTACATCTTATTCCTACCTTTGTCTATTCCAACCACCCCATTGTTGTTATAAGTTTGAGCTTATCGCGATCATTTTAAGCAGCTAGATAGTTACTTCTACAAAGCGACCACTCAATGAATGAGCAATCTCAGCGATCTTGAAATTGTATACATCGACTATTTGAGCGTATTGCTCCAACATCCACACGTTGGTCGAAGTTGAAGAAGTTTAGCTATAACATTGGAAAGCTTCTTCGTTGGTGTATTCTGCATATCGTAGACCATAGATCCTAACGAAATACTGCGAAATTGTTCTGTATCTGTAATGTATATTCATTTTAGGACTGTGATATCCGTAATTGCTTCTCAATGAAACTTGGAGAAATTCTTTTCTAAACGAGTTGCTAATGAACAGTGAATTATTATTATCTGTTTGGGAGGAATAACTGTTTTGTTCTAGCATATATAACTCGAATATGTGCATCCAACTAAATTTTACAAAAAAGCTGATAGTCAGGGATTATGACGTGCTTCACTAGAGTCTCAAAAAAGTTGGAACTGAAAGAATAATGCAATTGAAAGATCTGATTATTTGCTAGGAACAATTTACCCATGTAAACACCGCTATAACATTCAGCCGATCCATCTAATTAACTTCTATTATATTTTGATACTTGAGATAAATATTGGTTAGCATGGGAATCTAGAATGCGCGCTTCGTCCTATTTCAGACGGATCAGGGATGTATGTGACTCTCAGTGAGTGTTACTGTTTTCACTAAGACTCCCACCCAGCGAGCATCGCTTCCAAACTCCAGAGAGAGTTACCCACTACGTTAGTGATTCACGATAGCCAATTATGGTGCAACGACCATTGTTTAATATATATTATGACTAATTGTCAGGATGGGATTACTGGCTATGTCGGGCCATCTGTACAGGAGCTCATGTGTGGAAATGTGACCGATCTATTCGGTCCAAACCAATCAATAACGGGAAATAACAAGTCATCGTATCCTAATGTATTTGTGTGTACACCTGAGAGTTCTAATCTTCTGTAATAAGAAACCAGCTTTCCTATACCATCATCTACTTATCAAAATCACCAACTTATTGACTCACTAATTTTCTCTAGAAGAGAAAGAAATTGATAAATTGTATGCTTACTTACTTGCATACTAAAAACTCAACTTCTTAGGTCAACCTCTGTGTCTTGTTACACATAGCATTGTTACTAGTAAATATCGATCGTATACGTGTACTCTTCTTTTTTCTTTATTGTAACGACATATGTGATGTCAGTTGCTTTGTATTGATGAAATTTCCTTGTATTTGCTGTTGTTTACAATACATACGTAATCCCATCCTTGTTTCAAATAACTGTCACTAATACCTTGCAAGAAATTTCTAACCCACACTTACTAGTTTGCGTAGTTCTCTTCAGTGATGGGGGTGACTTCTCACTTGCAGTGAACAACATTCGGTTGAAATTGTTGACCAGTGTATCAGTCACCTGAAATGTTACTAGTGTTAAAGTTCATCCTATCAGAGGTTTATATGAGTTAAATGAGCCTCTGGAAACTGCTGATGAATTCCATCTATGGAAGGTATTGTGGTTGGGGTATTTCTTAGTTCTTAAAAATGCGTTCACATGCATCAAAAAGCTGTACTTTGCCCTCGAAAACCCAGTACATATGATTACATTATCCCTCTAGACTATGGCTGATGATTACACTGTACACGTTCATTTGTCGCACCGTTTCCCTACTTAAATAGAGCTTGATCATTTCTCCTTTCCATAAAAACAGTTTAAAATGAACCTTTCATATTCGAATAAGAAACTCATTATTCCTCTACTTTTTAGAGAGTTCCAGTGAATTCCTCAGTCTTACAGTCCACTCCATTATGTGAGTTCAATCATTTTTCTCGAATAGTTTGTTTTCTTTCAGTAGACGTTGAATGATTAAATATTGAGTAGTAGTTGGATATTCTAAGCAAATTATGTTACATTATTTTATTTCTCAGTTATTATTACCTACCTAAAGTCTTCTTATATACCTCAGACCACCAGTTAGTTCTATTATTACTTTGTCTTTTGAGCATACCTTGGAACCACCATTTGTTATATGTCGGTTGAAAGAAGCAAATATGCACAATGGTACTCGCATGCAAACATTCGAATTCTTTATAAATACTACATACATTGAAAAAGAAAATAATTTATAGTCAAACAGACAAGAGAAGTCAGATAGCTAAATAGGGGACCTTTTTATATGTGAAGTCAACCGCATGCTTGACGATATGGGAAATCATCCTATGCGCCATATCTCGAAAGCTCTATTGTATCACTGATCATTCAGATTGTATGAATTGTGTAGCTTCATCATCCTACTACCACCAGAAGGAGTTGGAAAAATGTTGATCGAGAAGCCTCACACCTCCTCACTCGATGATATATAATTGGTGTTAAGATTTCTTTGATAAATGAGACAAGTTAATTCGTAACTTGTTTCACACGAAGATGAACTGTTGGCTAGTGACACTTTGCAGAGAGCTTCATCAGCTAAAATTAAATCATATAAAAACTAATTCCTATGAAAAAATCTATTTCTTGAATGCCGGTCTTGAAAGTTTGGTCGAAAACAGTTCGCAAATACAGCTCACAGTTACCATTTTCACAAGTAGAGTATTTTTCTTTCCTTTCTTCCATCCAGGTAGTCCAATCTAAATGGTCTTTTATTACATCCGAGTAAGGACGTATACGTTGAGGATGAGTTGGCTGTCCAAAATATATAAAGCGCAGCTTGACTAAAACCATTACATGTTGACCCGATCGATAGCTGCCACTTGACGTGGTGACCGGCCTGGGACATCACAATAGCCCGAAGACGTCTGCTGGTGGAACGCGTGTTCCCTCGAGGTCCTACCGTACCAGAAGGGTCAGTTGGATAGTGGTGAGACAAAAGCCGGTTACTGTCACAGAGTAAATTGCTACGCTGTGATAGAGTCTTTGAGTGAAGTTGTACTGTTAGCAGGATGGGGGTGCGATAATGGTAAGGTGTTTGTCTTGAATGACCATGAGCGATATGCTGATGCTTCCTTCCTAATGGGATGCTGGCTTACAAAAGGTCAACCCTTGAGATAGTGCGCACCCTCTGACTCGCAGTATGTCGGTGACGGTGATGTGGATTTACAGTCACAGTCAAAACTAACAAATTTAAGTGTTAAATTCTTAAGAAGGCCTTGTGTGATCGACCTCAAGGAAGATATCCCTCGGGCTCTGGGGTCATGCATTAGTCCTTCTTTTCCAGGTAACTCAAGAAGCACCAATATTCCACGGTATGGGTGGCGGAGAAGTGTCAGTTACCCTCAAATCAGTCAGTATTCAAGTCTCTTCAGATCACTGTCCACCTTGCACACTCTTAACTTCTAATCTTACTTCACGTCTCTCGGTCAATAAGTCTATGTCGTCTTCAATTTCTGTTAAGTGTGCAGCTGTTGGTGGAGACCTGAGTTCACGGAAGAACGGCACTGGTCTGATGACAGCTCTCTGTAAACTATATATTGGAACTTCCAATGTCCACACCCTCGTTCGAATTGTCCAACAAGCTTCGCTAGCCAAAACTTAAGGATGTCTGGGTATGGATGTGTGGTGTGTTTGTGAGACACGCGTGCAGGACCTATGTGTTGTTCATTTATCGTCACGCATTCAGTATGGTGAATCCACATTGTTCACCCTTTGTGTTTTTTGAGATTCGATGACTAGTTGTTGTAGGTGTAACTATAATCTTGTGTCCCGAAACAGAATATACACTGCTCAACTCGATCACAGTTGACAGTCGCTTATTTGCTACTCGACAGGAGGGTACGCTGAGGGCTAAAAGATTTGGTGAAACTCGCTGTTATCTCTTTGTAATCTCTCCTTACACAGCCGCTGACTGCAGCTTGAATAAAGCGAAGCATGAGTTCTATTGAAAACTGTCTAGCCTCCCACTGAAAGCCAAGCGCTCAGACGTGGTAGTTATTGCAGGTGATTTAAGTGCACAAGTATGTTTCCTGAGTCATCAGAAAGGTGCTTGAGTGGTCCTTACGGGATCCAAGCCAGATGAACAGATAATAGTGATCGCCTACTACAACTTTGCTCAAGCGATCACTTATTTCTGGTCATCAGGAATTTCAGATATAAAGAGAGACATTGTCTGACGTGGTATCCACTGAACTTGACTCGGTGGTGGACACAAATGGACCTTATTACTATCATTTATCGCTGTAAAGGGTTGGGGGTAGATGACTGCTTCTTTGTGAGCACGTGTTTGAACAGCAAGCACATCTATGTTTATGCCTTAATGGATTTATGGAACTCACAGCGGCAAGACCATTGCAAGCGTTGCTTGAAGTTGAGAACACTGTGACTGCTTTTAGTAGGAAACTGGCTAGATAGTCATCGGAAGAGTACATCATCACACCCAGAAGAAGCTTGGCGCCGTGTGCAGTCTGCTGTAAAAATAGCCTTATGGATGTTAGGTTTATTTCAAAATGGTGAGAAAGGGCCAGTGTATCTGAGCAGATTATCCTGAATTAATAGATGCACGGTAATGCACCCCTGCAGGCTCTGAGTAGATTGAGAAACGGAAATAACTCTATTGTTGACTGAAAAAAGAGTTTTTGCAATAACGACGAACAGGCTAAAGAGACGTAGATGACAGCGGCGCTACGCAACAGTAGAGACATTGTGTCATATAGCCTCCACCGACCTCAAATCACCCGTTGATAGACCATATTGGTATTATTTATCACAGGAGACGATTAGTGGAGCATTTACGTCCCTTCTGGAGCATTTGTTTGAACAGTGTTCATGCATTGGTTCGTGGGCATGTACGTCTGCCCCTAAATGGAGGTAGGAAATCTGTAGCAACAAGACGACCATTGCGAAAGCAACTTGACAATGAGAGCATTAATAATGGTTTCAGTGCGAAACTGGCTAGGTACTAAGTAGGACAGGGCAACTTAACTGATTTTGAAGAAACCTATCTCCACTTTAGTCTCATATAAGACAGCGTTTGAGACCATATCGACCTCTCAGAGAGTGGTTAGAAAGGGTCAGTGGATCTCAACTGATTCTTCTTATCTAATGGCTCCAGGTGAACGCACTCTTGGGCTCTCCGAGCATACTTGGGAGTGGGAGGAACTCAAGCGAGGACTGACATAGATCCTACGAGCAGGAGTTAGCAGTGAAGGCTAGAGAGATTTTATGGAAGACATTTGTTTAGCCTGTTGCAGGGAACTGGGCGAAGAAGGTCAGTAGTTAGCGAGACTGGATATTAGAAGGATGGGACTGCTATTCACTTGCATGGAAGCTGACTAGAACTTTAGTTAGGACGGTTCAACTGACTGTCGGTTGGTCACTATACAGTCGGATGGTAAATGAAACTTTCACTGAGGTGGAGAAAGTTTCAAGCAACTAAAAATGAAAAAGGGCAGCAGGCTTCAATAGGCTAACATCATAGGAATTTATTGATAGGGGTTCTGTTTAGTCAAACCTTAGCTAGGTGTATGGGGATAAGATATGGTTTTTTCTGATTGGTCTCAATCACTGATTGTCCCAATCTTGATAAAAGTTAAGAAATCGTTATGTTATAGCTACAAAAGGAAATTAGTTTGACGTTTAAATAAGGCTCGAGAACATCGAGTTCGAAAAATCCAGCCAGTTTTCAGATCTAATCGGTGGGTGTATCGACCATGTTCTCACTCTCCATATGTTGGAACACTGACACACATACTGATACCTGACACTAGCTGAATTTCCTTTACCTGAATGTAATTAGACTCCGTCTATTTATAGGTCTTTTGACAGTGTGTCGATGAGAGAGGGGAGTGCCAGTTAAGTAGATCGAATAGACTTAAGACACTGTATTCCAAGACCGCTGAATATGTTCCAACCTACGATGAGTTGTGCACGTCGAGCTCTGTCCAGTCTTACTGTTTTTTTCTTCATTTTTTCATAGGCGTGGTTATGAAGGTCTCTCTCCTCGTCTGAATTTACAAGAATTGTTACTGTCACGAGTAGCTAATCAGTAGACCTGGAGCACATAGATAACAATCCTGTTAGTCAAAGAAGGTGACAGGATGTAGAGTCTTCTAGACACGGTGATTGTTAATTTAAGAATGTTTTGGACCCGCCTCCCGCCACTCACGTGCAAATTGTTGCTGCAGAACTGGTCTTCAGTGTTGCCTTGTCTAACAGTGGGAAGTGAAGTGTTTGAGCGTGCTGACCACTGCTCTTACCTGGGGAGTTGGACCAGCCTTGATCAGTCAGTGACCGATGAAATCTTGGCATGGACACAACAGATTCACTTCTCCTTCACCAGCTTTTGCGGCTATCATATCCGACTACTTATTAAGAACTGAGCATACTACGCTGCAGTACTCCCTGTCCTACTGTATGGGTGTGAAACACGGCAATTCCAGGTAGGTGACATGTGGCTTCAGGTGTTCAGGTATTATGCCCGGAACGTTATTTAGTAAACAATAGTGTTTCATTGAGTGACGCATCTAGTAAACGGAGTAAAATGGAAGTATCTCTCCGTTTACTAAAATAAAACCCACCGTTGAAGACTTCACATATTAATGTCATACCTTAGTAAAACCACCTTCGGAAATTTGCAAAACTGATCCAACGTTTGCTACCGTTGCTCATTAATGTACATTGTGGTTCGGCTTGGGCGTAACGCATGTTCTAGGTAAGCATTCTACTGGTTTGTTCTTTAGTAGAATTGCATAATGAGACCGTATTATATACTGGAAGATTTTTTGACCACTGTGTGATGCATCAAGTAAACTTAAACTGGAATTATGCTTTACTACAACATCCAAACTCTACCATTTTACTAACTTCATATTATGGAACACGTATATAAACAAACAATGCCATGCATCATTGTATTTTTTTCAATTTCCTGTATATGTCTTGGCACAGATTGTCAACCTGGATACGGTGCTACCGGTGATATGAGGGTACTGTCTAAACCAATCTCATCTGAAGACATTCAAGCAGTAAGAGAAATTTTCACCTCAGTGGAAGACGATACAATTCGATCTCTTTTGACTACACACCATGGGAATCGAGAAATGGTTATCAATGAATTACTCCGTATGACGAATGAAACCTAATGCTCTGATTATCCTCATACCCTGTCATCATAATTACTACTACTACTACCACTACTACTGATGGAAAGATTTTTAATCTGTTGTTGTTTATGGTGAATCATTCATTCCTTTTATCGTATCCTGTTGGCAACTGATCGTTGTCGTTACGTGTTCGGTCAAAAAATAGTTTGTCCTCTGCTTTCTTTCTTCGTGTGTTGTGTCAGTGCAGTGTTTATCATGACTGCCTCAACAATGTTGTACTTGTGATGTTCAATTAGTAATAATATATTACGTATATATGCATCGATATTATTCTATGCTTACTCCTATGATTTTACTTTCATTTTGTCTTTCTACTCATCACACACGCTCAGGCAAATCCTCTACACGTTTCATCTGACATCTTCGTTAAAGTGCTTTTCTTTTTATTTAAAAAAAGCAAATTATTTTCTTAACAGAATACTTTATCACATCATAACACAGCGATGAATGCTGTCAACTATTGTTCTCGTTCATACTCCCCTTTTACAAATGTTGAGTGCTGTGCGATCTTGCCACAACAATCTGTGAATAGCTTAAGTCTTTTAGTGCGTGTGTATGTGTTGCGAAATGACGAATTCTTTTCAATTCATGTAACAATCATATACACCTTTTGATGACTACAAATATACGTCAGTCTATTAACATTACATGCACTATTATTATTGGTGTTATTATGAGTTATCATGGCTATTGTTCATTTAATAAATTGGAGTTATTGAAACATTGGTTGTTTGATGATAACTGATTTCTTCTTTGGTATTCACTGCAGTTGTTGACTTGATGAGGAGGTAATACCGACTCGGGTTAGGTGTCCGACTTTCAACTAGTTGGTTATGTACTCCAACTCAACTCCATCTACGAAGATTTGCCAAACCAAGTAGTTTTATGATTAGTCCTCACATATTATGGATGATTTATTGTCTAGTAATGGGATATGCACGTAATTACTGAGTTTCATGGTTATATTATGTGCTGACTAAACTAAGTGATCTTAACTTCAGTATGGTGGGTTACTTTGTTTCGAATGCTTCAATGTAATTTACTATAAAGTCACAAAATACGTTTTTTTTTTAAAAGTACGATTAACTTCACGGTCCAGCATATGATGTTTGGATACATATCCACACATGATTCCTCTGCTTTTGAGTTATTTTACTAATATATACTTCCCGACCGATAGCTGCTACCTTGACGTGGGGGTCTGGCTGGTATATCACAATGACCCACCATATTAGGAAGGTAAGCTGTATAGTGGTAAAACGAAAAGCAGTTACTGTCATAAAGCGAATCGCTACGCGATGATAGGGGTCCAAGAACGGAATAGTACTGCTGGCTGGACGAGGTATAAAATCAGCGAGGTACTTCCGGTAGATGAACAGCAGTACCATGTTGATGCCACCCTCCTGATAGGAAAAGTAAACCCCCAGAGAAGCTCATTCTCCCTGCCCCATTGTCTTCCAGTGACAGCACAGTATGGTTTTTGTCTATCCGGCGTCAGAACAATCAAATCTCATGCCAAAAATTTGAAAACTCTATGTGTGATCGCCCTAAAATAAATGTCCCATGGGCTTTGTGATCACACGAATACTTTTCTCTTTCAGGTACTTCAAGAAGAAACAGCCTTTCACAGTTAACAGTAGCATGTGTGCCGTCGGGCTAAATGGATCTATAAAAACTGGAAAGGGTTGTGAGACTTGCCAATGACAACTCCTAATCTCTACCTAAGCACCCACCGAACACAGTTCGGATGATGCAAAGAATGAATTCTATGAATAGCTGTCAACCTTGCTACAGAAAGAGAAATGTTCAGATTTAGTCATAATAGTAAGTGACTTTAACACTCAAGTAGGAAAACTGAGCTGAGCCAATCGGAAAGGTATCTGGAAGTTATCTACGAAATCCCATCCCAACGAACCAACAACGGTGATCATCTATGGCGATTCTGCTCCGACAGTCACTTGTTTCTGACCAGCACTAACTTTAAGCATAAGGAAAGGCACTATCTCATATTGCGTCCGCCGACTTTAAACCAACAATGGGCACAGATAGATCACATTGTTATAATTCATCGGTGGAGGATTGCTGCTCTTTCTGGAGTACCTGCTTGGGATCCGACCACGCGTTCAGCTCAGTTTTCCTACTTGAGTGTTAAAGTCGCTTGCTATTATGACTAAATCTGAACATTTCTCTTTCTGTAGCAAGGTTGACAGCTATTCATAGAATTCATTCTTTGCATCATCCGAACTGTGTTCGGTGGGTGCTTAGGTAGAGATTAGGAGTTGTCATTGGCAAGTCTCACAACCCTTTCCAGTCTTTACAGATGCATTTAGTTGACGGCTGTTGAGTGGTATCTAATCTAAATTTCGAAGATTCACCGCACTGGTCAGGCGAGGTGAATTTAATAACCGCACGCGACTTCTGTTTACGTGTCTCAGAGATACAGCATGCATCCATGGGTAGAGATTCCAAATTTTTACCGGGCGGAATTTTCTGTTCAATTTAGCAGAGTTTGGACGTCGAAAGCCTTTACATGAAATCGATGGCCGCTTCTTAGAAGAGTAAGAATGAAGTTTTGATGGCTTCGTTCGTTGACAAAGGTTTCATAACGAGAGGTTTGGGAAGTTGTCAGGGGCCTAATATTTTACATCACGCTGCGAAGGTATTGGATGTGTTTACTACTGGAAGATAATTGGGTGTTGAAACTTCCCGGCTGCCTACATCGTGGGTGGCTATTACTTCTTTAGGCACCTGAAAGAGAAAATGATTCGCGTGACCACAGAGCCTATGGGATATATATTTGAGGCCTATGACAGGCAGCCTTTTGAATGAGGTTCATAAAGGTTTGTGGCACCTCCTTAGTGTTAAAGCAGCTGCCAAACTATTTGTCGGTCGACACTATCGAAGGCCTTTTCAAAATCGATGAAGTTGAGGTAGAGAGTTGACTACCATTCTATGCTGTGTTCTATGATGATGCGCAGCGTTACAATTTCGTCCGCATATGATTTGTACTTCCTGAATACACCCGGCCTGTTTCGGTGGTAATTTTCAATCCAGAGTATTTTTTAATCTGTCCTGGATGATGCAGCTTAATATTTTGCTTGGGGTGGACAGGGACAGTAGGATGATTCCACACCAGTTCATGCAAAGACTTAGGTCTCCCTTGTTTGGAGTTTGCTGATAAGGTAGCCCTTCTTCTAATCAGTCGGCAGGTACCTTTCCCTCCCTCCTTCCTTCCTCGCAAACCTTCTGCAGTACTGGCGTGAGCATGTCCATCGTTGCCTCTGCGTCTGTTTTCAGTGCTTCTGACGGAATTCAATCTGGTGCTGCTGCTTTCCCGGATTTCGGCAACTTCATGACGTTGAGGACTTCTGCTTTACTGTGTTCACTGATGGTTCTGTGACGGCTGCAGTTGGAATTTCTGAGCGAGTTGCAAGTGGTGGTGGTGGTGTTGGTCGATTAAAGAGTTTTCTGAAGTGGTCAGTCCATCGTTTCCTTCATTTCTCCTCTTTGGTGGTAAATAGGTTTCCTTCACTATTTCTCATTCGTTTCATCTGCGTTGAGCTCTCCCTTCGCAGATAGTAAGTAACATGGTTAGTTGGTACAATGTTGTCAGATCTCTGTCTCTCCTACCTGCAGCCTGTTCTGCTTTACTCGCAAGTGTGTCGTAGAAGTGTATTTTGTGTTTCCGCACACACTCCTCTTCACCTCTTTGTCCAGTGTAGTGTCTTATAGGTTGTACTCAGTTCCTGTTTTCGTTGTTTAGCTTGCACTACACTGGTTTATCTTCTGCTTCACTAACCTCCTCTACCAGCTTCCATGTGTCCGTGGAGATCCATTCCTTGTCTTGCCGCTTCTTCTTCCTTCCTAATACGGTTATACAGGCTTCCTTCCTTCCTTCCTTCCTTCCTTCCTTCCTTGTCTCTTTCAAAGAGTTCCAGTGTTCTTTCACTCAGGTTTCCTCAGGGATGTTGCTTAGTGTCTCCCATTTTGTCCTGATAACTGACTGACTTACTGACTGACTGAAGTGAAGATGTCCTTTGTAGTTTCGTCCTTCAGTCCAGTTCGTGTTCTGGGTGTTCAACTTGAACTGTGATCTATCACGGACTTCCTTGAAGGCTTTCAACTTGATTTTGAAGGTAGGTTCCTTCCACTAGATAGTGAGTAGTGTGAACCGCCTACATCTGCTCCCCTTCTTGATCTGATCTTGTGTCAAGTAGGCTGAGTGCATCTCCACTTTCTTCACACTGAGATTAAGTTGGTCTGGTTTTAGTGTGTCCTGATTTCTGGTGAAATCAATGTCACTGCCTTGTGAATATCCTTGTGTTTGTATACACTGCGTGACTGCAATCAATAAATCGTTGAATGCTGAGAAGTCTGCAAACAGTTCTCTATCCTCACTCATCATTTCACCGAGTGCTTCTCGACCCATGAATGGTTCCTTTCCTGTGTTGTCCGCTCCCAGTTTGACATTCATGTCACCTCGCCTAGTTCACTAGTTCACCAGCTGGTCCTAAGCCCGGTTGAACAGGGAAAGTTGTGCATAGTGTTAGCAACTCTATCCCGTAAAACCAATCCAATCGCTGAAGAAACTTCAAAGTACAGCGGAATATGTTGTGTTATTTTTTGCGCATACGTTTTCTAACCTCCGCTTTCAATTAGGATGGCGGTGTCTGCGTAGAACTACCGGTCATCTGAAGGAAAAGCTTTACTTCTGTCCCACTTCTATCTATCATCATCATCATCATCATTATCAACATAGGACCAGGCATTACTGCGTAACGGTCCGAGTTGCCACACCTCATATCAGCACATCAAGTAAAAAGGTAGTGAGGTGAAGGATGAAGATAAGTGAATGCAGTCAAAAGAAATATAAAGTACGAGAAGAAAGGAAAGAGGAGTGACAAAATGGTGAGATTCGGTATAGCGTTGTTAAGATGAGGATAATGTGTGTATACATCTGCGCCACTGACTTCGGTTCT